ATAGGGGTACTATGGTGGCTCAGTTGGTTGAGCATCTGACTTCAGCTCAGGTCACGATCTCATGGCTCGTGAGTTCATGACCCCCTGTGTTGGGCTTGTACTCACGGCTCAGAGCCTAGAGATTGCTTTGGATTCTGTCTGTTTCTCTCTGCCCCTCCCCTGCTCACACTCTGTCTCTCTCACCCCAAAAAATCAACATTTAAAAAAAATTGTTTGAGTTTATAATAAGCAAATGGTAAAGAAGACCTTATAAAAATAAAAGTATAAAACCGTATTTAAAAATATAAAATTTAAGAAGTATAATTTATTTCAAAGTATAAAATGTATTTTAAAAATAAAATAAGGGGCGCCTGGGTGGCGCAGTCGGTTGGGCGTCCGACTTCAGCCAGGTCACGATCTCGCGGTCCGGGAGTTCGAGCCCCGCGTGAGGCCTTGGGCTGATGGCTCAGAGCCTGGAGCCTGTTTCCGATTCTGTGTCTCCCTCTCTCTCTGCCCCTCCCCCGTTCATGCTCTGTCTCTCTCTGTCCTAAAAATAAATAAACGTTGGGGAAAAAAAAAAAAAAATTATAAAAAAAATAAATAAATAAAATAAAATAAATTTTACTGAAAAAATTAAAGTGTGCCATTAAAATATAAATGTATAGTATCTGTTTTCGCTGTGAGGGTTCACATAAGATTTTATTGGGGGAAAAAAGCATGCCACTGTTAAATTTTTTAAATGTTTTGAAATCACTGACCAGTCTTGAAGATCCATGCCAATTGGCACATTATACATTTGTTCTGTCTGACTTTTGTCAACCAACAGACAAAATGGACAAAAACAAAATGACCATAACAATCACACAAAACTGCTCGCGATAGCCAGCATTGAACTGAGTGCCTCCTCAGGACTAGGCCTTGTCCTAAGTACCTTCATCCATTGTTTTTCTCTTAATTTCCTCCCATTTTACCGCTCAGAACACTTACATAACTTGCCTGAGATCACACAGACAGTAAATACCAGGGCCATAATTTGAACCCAACAGAATTATTTCACCATGTAGTTTTCCATTTTCAAAGCAAGGGTCAGATATACTGGCATTAGATACAAAGACCTCATGATTTCCTACTTCAGCACTTTGTAAAGTATTTAATTGGTTCTCTTTTGCCTTGACTTCAAATTTGCCTCTTCACTGGTCTGTCTTGTTTGATAAGTTCATCAAACATCAAGACTCTTTGTTCATTTTCAAAAAGGATTACAATGAGAAGCTTTTATAATTAAGAGTATCTCAGCAGAGATTTCCTTCACTACCGTTCTCTTGCCTTTATCTCCTAATTCTTAGAGGTAAATTTTCTGATTTTTCAAAGGTGTTTTTGCTTTAAATACAAATTGCAAATTAAGTGCTTATAAAAATGCCTTTCCCCCTTCTGAACTGTTATGTAAAGGCAATCGCTCTTGCTCTAGCATTTAAAAGCAATGATTCAAAATTAAATCACTCAAGAATTTGACTAAAATAGCTCAACTTAAAATCTTCAGTGTTTGGAAGACAAAGACTGCTTTCATGCTATCCCAAAGCTGAAATAAGGGACCCTTTAAGCACCACAAAATACTTGATGTTAATATATAAAAACCTGAAGCCGGGTTGGGCGATTCAAGGAAATGAAATGGGCAAACTTGCAATGTACATATGAAAATATCAGTTCCATCCATTTCCCTACAGCAAAAGGTAAACTCATTGTAAGAATGAAATGACCCAGCATCTCTACAGTTTTGGCTTTCCCAGGATGAGGTTATTAACATTATCTGATTGTATCCTCCCTGAAACACTATGAGAGGGAATTTGTAAGACTCACAAATGGATAAGTAGAGGTTCATTGTCCAACATTACTCAAGAGGATTATTATTTATTAAGCTGAGTATTATTTTATATCTAGGACCTTATTTCATATTCATTGACTCTTATAGACAAGGCAGTATTACCCTCATTTCCAGATAGGGGAATTAACGTTCTAAGAGATTAAATGATCATTCCAGATGACCCAACTCTTGAGTATTAGATCGGTGGTCTGTAGACCGATCCATCTGACTCCAAGGGCATGTTCTTTTCACTGTCCTGCACTCCTTCGCCGGATCCGTGGTAACATGAAAAGAAGTCACATTCTGTCCTAGAATAACTTGTTGCAAACATGGAAGTGCCTTCGCCCCCCACCAGGTGATCCCTCTGTGCAAATTTTGCAGATTTAGGGCCAACTCACCGGTTCACCTTCTCTTGGATAGTTGCCCCAGGCTGACAAGTCATCAAAGACAGGATGAAAACAGCAGCAGCAAGCATCTCAACCACCCTGTATCACTTAGAAGGAATAAAACTAATCAGAGAGTTGGAGCGAAAGACGTCTTTGCGCCGGGACCTGTAAGAGCCATCGAATGTTCAGAACTAACAGAATTCACTCAATTCTCATTGAGATGTGGTTAATTAGTGACTGGGGTATTGATTAGCCAAACACCCTAAAATCCAGGACACCAAAGGTCACTGTTTTTCAAACCTTTTGAAAAGTAATATCCATATGGTTGAGGAAAGGAGGATTTTTAGCCAATACCAGTTTAGCAAGGAAGTCTTCTTTTTGGAATGAGGCAAAGCCAAATCAAGATACAGTTGCAGAATGCGTGGGACTTTTTGAGTGGCTCTTGGAACTTGTGAAGTCAGATCAATTTGTTTTGCAAGACTTATACAAGGATAATACTGGTGTATGAACTCGTTTGTAAACAGCCGCCAAAACATAGGAGATGCTGATAGTTACATAAAGATTCTACAACGTGTTGCCAAACATCTGGAGCCTGAGAGCTGTGGTAATTGAATGGACATTCCGCTTTTCATCTAGACATTAGATATCATTAAGATCCGGCATATTTGTGTCTTGAGGGGACCAGATGTCTTCAATAGACATCTCCAGAAGCATTCTCTAGAATTATAGTAACAGCCACACATCTGCACTGATATCATACCTATATACATCCTCTTACTCTTCCAGACATATTCATAAATTAATTAAATAAGTAGAGATGGAGAGACAGAAAATAACTGAACATGTGGCAGGCATTTCATCTGTCTTATTTTACTGAATCCTCACAAGTCAACAAGATAGAAATGATTAATTTCATTTTGCAGTTCAAATGGAGGTTCAGAGAGGTTAAGTAACTTGCCAAGGATGGTACAGCTGTCTTTTTTTTTTTTTT